GGCGGTGAACAAATGAGACACCGATGTCAAATTGTTTTGGTAATCATCGCATGTCGATTCATGTCATTTGAACAGGGTACCCTGACACAAAAATAAGGTAAACCAGCTTACTTAGTGATAATGATTTTGTGATTTCCCACACGAAGAACGTTCTCAGAAATAATCCGACATGCTGATCAGCCCACCAACAATCGGCACCAAAATTGGAGGGTACCATATTTGTTCTCGCGTTCAATAATACGGTGATAAATCAGGATTCACAAGTACAACGAATTTACACAACATTTTACCATGAAATCGAACCTACCAACCATTTTCATATCTTCAACACTGCCATGGTTTTGGCGATGATGAATCTCACATTCATTATTTTCTTGACTGGGCTCACACAGGGTTCAATGTTCCGTGGCTTGAATGTAATTGTACACCACACGTGAATGTAAACTAGCTTGCACAGTAATTCGTTTCACAGTCATTGTGGTTATACATTTGTTCAATTACTTATTTATTTACTTATACGATAATAAAAAATCATACATGTAATTTCTTAGACCTTTTCATAATGTAAACTGATACATTTCATCTTGCTTCGTTTTTGTACAACACACTGGAAATAACAAAATGGCCGACACCATCATAAATTGCTGGTCATAAAAAATAGAATACTCATGCGCATCATTATGCAAATTAGTCCACTCACCGATTCCTATTAGTTGTATTCATACAATTGGGCATAAAAAACTTAAAAAAAAAATAATAAAAAAATACATAAAAAATGCTAAATTTTAATTAAAATGTAAAATACAACAATGAATTGCAACAGCCAATCATTAGTAACATTCTTACCAAGTTACACAAAAATCGTTTTAATGCTTTTTGAGATATAACTGAACTAGCTTAAAATTCACACATTATTATGCAGATGAGCTCATTAATATGCATGGATGTCAACCAAAAAAGACAAGCTATATACCAAGTTTCATTGAAATCCGAACATTGGTTCTTGAGATATCGATGGAACAGACACACACACACACACACAGACAGACAGACAGACAGACACACAGACAGACACACAGACAGACACACAGACAGACACACTAACTGCAAAGACTCCCTTTTTGTGCTTCGCACACGGGAGTCAAAAATGTAAATAGATTATAATAAAATATTAGGAGTATTCATCTCCTTATACTCATATTGTACAGAATCATATTTATATTGTTATAATCTGCTCATAAGTCAATTGGACATTTTGAATCAAATCACAAAACAAAACATCATATTTATTTTTCATACCACAAGTAATTGCATTACATAGTCCATAGGAGTTGGCAAGATTAAAAATATACAAAGCTGAGCACAAAGAGTTGGCCATTTTGAATCAGATATGAAAAGCAAAACAACATCAAGGCCCTATAATATTCAATGTATGCTTTATAGTGAGTGAAGATGATAAGAAATTTATTGGTAGGACAGACAGACAGACAGACAGACAGACAGACAGACAGACAGACAGACAGACAGACAGACAGACAGACAGACAGACAGACAGACAGACAGACAGACTGACTGACTGACTGACTGACTGACTGACTGACTGATGATCAGACAGTTTCAAGGGAATCTGCCTAAAAGTTTTAAAGTTCTGACTCAATACATGACTCAATCAATGTGTAGACAGACGGATGAACAGACTTGTGTATGTAAACTGGCTGTTTGTACTGGAAGTGTAAGAGTAACTGACAGCAAGAGAAATTTAACTGTCAGTAAGTTTTCAAGCTATGACAAATGTATGATTCACATCTTCACAATATATATTTTCAATATAATTCTTTACTTTTAAGCTAAGCTAAAACAGATATATGCCCAGGTATGTAATTTGTACTTAAATTGATGGTGGCCAGGTGGCCATATTGAATTATTAAATACTCACGTTTATTGCACCTAGTAACCAGAGCGTAGGTTGTAAACCAACAGAAAATATCATTCTTAGTACTGTTGATGCTACCAATGTACGCACACCAGACCGTCTTGGTAGTGTTATAACTATAACCAATGATAATAGCATTGCTGTCCACACAAGGCCAGATAATCTCATGTCTAGTTCTAGTATAAGAATGAAAAGATTTCAATAGCAATCCAATAGGTCAAAATTATTGAAATGAATTGAAAAATTCTCAAACGCAAGTTATTTCACCACTCACCAGATGATAAAAAAAGTCAGAACGTTGTGGAAGTGATTGCAATGACTTTTTTGTGTTTGTACCACACCTTCTATCTATATTCACAAGTCACTCAATTTAGAGTGTTCTCGGTGAGCATAGGTGTGGCATGCATAGAATGCTCACAGAGTAGAAAGCGCTGCAGTGACCCCGGATGCAACTTTTCAGTGGTGGCTTCTCTGTACATGTTTGCTTCATGTACAGAATACCCTAAACACCAAAACGGAATATCTTACTTAATATCTATTCTAGCACATTTGCTGTCTATTTTGGATGGCTGAAGTTCCTTCAAAACTTTGAAAGCAAACTCGAAAGCAACAGTGGCTGGGAGAGCAACAGAATAGGGAACGACAATTTGTTATGCACAGTTTCGCTGCACAGTACGGTAGCTTAAGTGATGTCATCTATGTGATATACCATGTAATATTCGTCATTATTCAATGTCATGTGACAGAGTTTCAACCAATCACAACATGCGTAATAACATTTCATAGTATAGTATAGTAATAAATAGCACAGTGGATCAATAGTCAAAAGTTCACAAAATTGCTTTTTAATATGAATTATACATACCTCTCGTTCCTTCATTGAAAGGATAGAAAAAAGCTACCAATAAATTGATAAGAACTGCTAAGTTGAATGATATTGTCATCCATATTGTCATATTACTACTAAACCAATACAATAAAGGTGTGGCTGAAATAAAATAGAAGAGAAAAGCCAGTGATTATGTGATTATGACTCATACTCAAAGAACCATGCAAAACTATTTTGTATTTTTAGCAAAATACCACTCATCAACACACTTTTTTTTCCAACACTTTTCTGTAATTTTCTTCAACTGTGATATTTTAGTCAGCATAATTTCACAAGTTTGTGGTTAACCATAGGTTTACTATGTCAGAAAAAGGTGGATGTAAGACCAAATAGTTTTTTTATGTTTCTACCCAATACCCAATAGACTATGTAAAAGACAAAAGACCATATTCCTCCACAAAGTTTACTGCATGCACAGAAAAAACAGAATAATCTTATTGACGCCTTTCACAAAATAAAATCACATCATTTCGTCCATTTTGACGAAGATCACTGGAAATTATGTTAATTTAAATTAACAAGAAATAAATGTCAGATACACAAAAAAATGATATTAACAATATCTACAATGCCTGAAATAAATGCAAATCACACAGTGTATTAAGTATCACAAACATTCATTGACAAGTAAACTCACCTCTAAGTTTTCTTTGCCATTTCATTTCCATGAAAAGGTCATCAACTTTTTCAAAGAATTCAGAAACCTTGCTACCCTGGTCATCTCTTTCAGATGTCATGTATACATGTGTTTTGGTTTCCTTGGTGAGATATTCGCACACTTGAGGAACAGGAAAAACTATTTGTTCCATTGTACGGTCTTGCCGAACAATCTATAATGATGGAAAAAAAACATGAGCAATATAAAAAAGTATAGGAACAAATTTTATATAGATTCAGTAATACATGTACTTGTGAGTATCATAATCATCATAATCATCTTTCACAGATACACAGTACTAAGGTGAAAAGAAAAGGTGTGAACAACACCCACAATATCACTTGATGCTTTTCTCTCAGCATTGCAATATTCCAAAGAACATATATAAATTATTATACATCTGTCACTGTAATGCCATAAATTATAGCGTGCCATCATTTGGCAATATTGCACTGGGTATTTTCATCCTACCATATTAGGAAACACGAATTCCAAATATGGAATGAGTACGTGTGCAAGCATTCACTAATAATAAAAAACAAACGTGGCTGCTTCCAGGGTTTGACCAGACCCAAACAAAAAAGTTCACTCAATCTGCTCTAAAAGTTTTGTATTTTGGCATTCCCATGATACTAGTATATTCCTCAGACAGTACGAGGTAGCATCGACCTCTGCTGTAC